TATTTTGGGGTCCTTATAATAAAGGATCCTTCTATTTAGGGTACCATATAAGGGTCCCCTATTTTCCGAAACGCCCATTTGTCTAGGGTTTAAGTTTTAGGGTTGAGGGTTTGTTAGTTTAAAATTTAGTTTGGATTTAGGGTTGACGGTTTGTTAGATTGGAATTTAGTTGGGATTTAGGGTTTAGTGTCTTATTTTTACGGTTTGGGGTGTAGGATTTCGGTTCCCGATGCGAGGGTCCCGTGGTACCAAAGCCTCTGACTATTTGCTCGGAAGTTGATCCTACAAACAGTCTGCACAAGGGCATGCATGGCAGGTTTCGGCTTTAGGGTTTAGGCTTTAGGGTTTAGGGTTTAGGGTTTAGGGACCCCTGAACAAACAGGCGAACCATTAATACAAGAAGACCTTAAACTCGACTAGCCAAAGGCCAATGATTTTATGGACTCGGTGAAGCCAAACTGGGATCGCATATGCACATCAAAGCAAAGTGCGAAGCCGCTGCTTCGGATGAGTTTCTTGTGGCAGACCGAGATGCAGGATACGTGAAGCAGCAGACAGACCTCTGGTCAACGATCACGCCGGTCTCCGGGCCGGGCAAAACCGAGTGGACAAAGTTGCATCAAGTGTGAGGGCAGCCTACCAGCGCAACACGCTAGTTGTTCTGGGCAAACGAGATCCGCGCATCAATGTGCTTAACTCCTTGACACTGGCGTTCCAAGTGAATTCAGCCCTTCCAGGAGGATCCTGGGTAGATGTAGACTAGCTACACGTGCTAAATGTCTTGAATTTCCGTCTGTGGTGATTTCTTGCCACATTTGGCTCTTCAGTTTCTTTGAGTCTCTCAGTCTCTCAATGTCGGGCCCGTTTCAGGCCCCAAGCCCCAGAAGAAGAAAACTCAATGCCCGAAGCCCGACAAATAGGCCTTCCTCAGCTGAACCCTAAAGCCCAAGCCTTAGACCGTAGTGGTAGACCTTAAAGTCTAAATATTTGTCTTTGGGAGGATACTCTGACACCCCAAACCTTAACCCCTATTAATAAGTAATTCATCCTCTTCCCCTAAACCTGAAGCGCTAAACCCTGGACCTGTTAGGCCTAAACCCTAGACCTTATAAGCCCTAGTCTTTGGGAGGATACCGTGAACGCATACCGGAGCAGCCGGGATTTGAGGCTCTGCGCGATTTTTCCATGGGTTTCCAGGATTCCTTTAAAAGGTTTCGGGAAGGGCTTCCTTTCAGGCTCTCTACAAGGGTCTCTGTAAGGGTTGGTCTGAGGATTTCTCCTACGGCGGCATTCGGGTTTAACGGATTAGTTTTTCTGTCGGAACGGGGGGGGGGGGGTTGGTTGTACAGCCGGTAGTCGCTAGGATTGTAGAGGACTTACAAGGTTTCCTGGTTCAGGGCAGGCTTCTAGAAGGGCTGGGTTCCAGGGTTTAGGGGTCGGGGTTTAGGGCCTTAGGGTATAGGGTTTCAGGTGTAGGGTTTCGGGTTTAGTGGTTGGGGGTGTGTTGAGGCTATCAGGAGATGGAGTAAGCGAAGTTTGAGGTAAGGGATTCAGGGTGCGGGTTTTTTGGGGCTTCGTGTTTTTTTGTTGGGGTGTTTAGTGTTTTTTTGGGGCATTTGGCGCTTAGGAGTTTAAGTCTTGAGGCTGGGATTGGGAGTTCGGAGCTCAAGTTTTGGAGGAATATCGGGAGCCCGGTACCACCTAACTCAGTAACATTGATGCCAGTATCCTCTGAGAAGAAGGTGGGCCCTTGATATGATGTAACCCTAAACCCTAAACCCTAAACCCTAAACCATGTAACATCTTTGCTCTGGCATTGACAGCTAACGATTTACCTGGAGGAGGCGAACTCAGTTAGAAGAACCTCAGTTAGGGTGCTTCTGGCCCCAAACGTAACCCTAAACCCTAAACCCTACACCCTAAGCCCTTCACCCTAAACCCGTAACCCTAAACCCTTAACCCTTAACCCTACACCCTTAACCCTACACCCTTAACCCTAAACCCTAGACCCAAAAATCTGCTTACCAAGTTCCCTGAGCTTGTGAAGCAGCCGATCGCCCCACTTTGAGGCCCGAGCCCGCAGCCTGAAGCGTTCCACCCAGATCTTCATAAACCTTAGGATTTAGGGTAGTAGGGTGTAGGGTTTAGAAGGGTTTAGTGTTTAGGGTTTAGTAGGGTTTAGGGTTTAGGTTTTAGTTTCCCTGAACCCTAAACCTTAGACCCTATTTCCCGACGTCCTTCCTAGATTCAAAGAATCCCTAAAGAAGACTTCCTGCGAGGCGCGGAGGCCTCTGTACCAGGCCGGCTTGTTGAGCGGAGGGGGTTCCTGTGGGGTTTAGGGTCTGGGTTTTGGGTCCATCAAGGGACTAAAGGAGGGACCTTGAAAGGGACCCTTGGGGTTATATAGGAGCTTTATGAGACTATATGAGGCCTATATAAGGGTTATATAGGGTATTTGGATTAGGGGTCCCTTCCAGGGGTCCCTCCTATTGTCCCTTAAGTCCAGTTCTACACGTTTAGGGTGTAGGGTCCAGGGTTTAGGGTTTGGGGTTTATGGTTTAGGGGTTAGGGTTTTTATAGGGTCTGGGGTGAAGGGTCTATTCCAGGGTCTAGGGTTTAGGGTTCAGCGGCGTTGACGCCTCGTCAGGCATATCACCAGATCAACCACTACAACCTTTTTGGAGGACCGTTTCCCAGTGCCTTCTTGCTTACGTGCCTGATGTCTCTCAAGATGCGGGATTTCCAAGGCTTAACAGCGTCCGACTGGTTCATGGCTCCAATGAGACCTCTTGTATCCCGCTTGGTTTTGTTAATGTTGGAGCATAGCCAACAAGCCGCGAAAAAAGGCGGATGCATCGAGGTCAGAGGTAGTCTCATAACGTGTAGCCTAGGCCTTGTGGAAGCGAAGGGAGTTCACCCTAAACCCCTAAACCCTCAACCCTAAACCATGAACCCAGCTCTCCTTGACGACCTCCGTGCGCTGGCGCTTTCTGATGAGGGGCTGCTCGCCGATACGGTCCTGAACGTGAGGAACGGCCACGTACATGCCCACTTGGCATTTCTGGAGGTGCGATGTCCACAGCTCGCCCAGAAGGCCGTGAAGGACCTCGAGAGAGCTTTCTGGGCGATTTTTCTGCTGGATGTGGAAGTAAGTACTCTCCGGCATCTGCTACTATACCTCTACACAGATGCCTTGCCTGACGCTTTTGGCATCACCCTCACTCCGGCCTTGGAGTTACTCATCTTCGCCGGAAGTTTGGTGAGCAATCCAGCCCAAGTGTTTTCAGGAACGAGCCGGATGAAGAAGAGCAGGTTAGAAGACGGCCCATGTGTAATACGACGTTTGTACGCCTTATGTGAGCAACACATCCTCGCGTCTATCACCGGGGCCAACGTGGTGGAAGTGCTGCAGACAGCTCTGAATATTGGCTCGAAGAAGCTGCAAGACGGTGTAGATCGTTTTCTTGCAGGCGAAGGGCGTGACCTGATCAAGTGCATGACCTTCAACCAGTCATTGTTTGCCCTCAATACTGAGAATCCAATAGCCGTGGCGCGTGCAGTCAGTGCTGCAGCTGGAAATACTCAGGTTCTGCCAAGTGACGCTGCCGGTGATTCGCCGCAGGTGCCGCCTTCCCAGTTGTTGGAGCATCTCGAAGTGCTTTTCGAATCTGCTCGTGCTGCAGACGGCAAACCGCTCGACCTGGTTTCGAGAGTTGACTGCCGTATTTGCTGGGAAGGGCAGAGCGGGCAAGCGACATTTCAGCTCTCCGCGCACCGTTTCATCCTTGCGGCACGGTCTGCATATTTTGCTGCAATGATGTCGACTCCAATGAGGGAAAGCTCGAGTGGACACATTCCGATATCACTTCCGCTGGCGCCCAGCTCTGCCGCCGCAAAGGCATGGCTGCGGTACCTTTACACAAGCGCGTTCCTTGATGAGGTGGAGGGCCAACCCTTGACCACCTGTGCCTTGGTTGACGTACTAGCCATCGTGGACGGGCCGGGAGGCCACAACTTCCTTCAGATGTCTGAGAGAGCCTACTCGGACGTCCAGCAGCAGGTACTGGCAAGTCTTGAAGCCGCAAGGCAGACTGAAACCACTGCCACCATGATATTCCTGCAAAGATCGATGGCACAGCAATGCAAAACTGCCTTGCCGGCTGCTTTCGATGATGCCCTTGAGAAGTGTGCTGGTGTCGACTGTCAGGATCTTGAGTCCTTCAAAGCTTGCTTCCCCACGGCCAAAGAGGAGTGGTGGACTACGGCAATGGTGCAAGACATGCATCTTCAACTTCTGTGGCGGCGGAGTTCTGTGACGCAGACCCACTCAAAGGCAAGGCCTAACAAGCGCCGCCACATTTCCATGTAGTTTGGATTTGTAAGCCTGCATAAGCTAAGCCCCTGTCAGCCAGATCTCCACGTGGGTAGTTCTCTAAATTAGGGTCCCTTTGGGGATCCTTTTTTGAAAGGGTGCCGTACGATTATGGGGCACCTAAACAAGGGTACCCCAGTTTAGAGAACTACCCATGTCCTTCAAGCCAAGCAGCGTCAGGAATACGACACCGCACGCCGAAGAGAAGAGCGCATACTCCATTACCGAATTTTCTACCACAAGTTGGACCAGGGTGAGGCGGCACAGATCTGACAGAGCCGCGCATGTCAAAATCTCATAACTGCAAATCTCTTGCCTGCGTTGTGTGTTCTGCTCCCTGAGGTGTCGTACTTGGTCTCATTGGATTGGTGTGCTGCATGGCGCAGCTTCTTACTTGGCAGACGGGGACCTCCCGGTCCAATAAGAAACGATCGATTGGTTGGAGATGGTTCCCGTGGCAGAGCAGTTGGTTCTAGATCCGTGTCACTCAGCCGTGCTGCGTGGAAGTTTCTGCAATCTCGCTATGGAGGTGGGCCGGAGATCAAGCAATCTGGTGTTGGACCAAGAACTTCGCCCTAAGGTCTGTGGACCATGTGGGTTCTAGAATCGCATGAACATACCTTAACCTACCAGAAGTACCAGAACCTACTTGTTTGCAGGGTTCCTATAAATTCCATATTTGGATTTGCGTGCAAAAGAGCAGCCTAAACCCTTAACCCTAAACCCTGTTATGGTGCACATGAGCATGATGTTGTTGATGCGCAGATCTTTGCGAATCGAGAGACCCGCAGTTGCAGGCTTCGGACGCAAAAGCAGCTTGCTCGACTATAGAGCCACTATTCGGGTTCCTACATGCTTACTCCCTAAACCCTAAACATCCCTAAACCCACTATTGTTTATGTTGGTTCTGCCGTTCCATTCGAGTTTAGATTTCTTGGATCGGCCGAAGCCTGCGATCGAAGTGCTCGACCCCTAACAGCCGAAACTGTGCACTGTAACCCCCACCTGGAGTTCTGAACCGCCTTGCCAGGGACTCCAAAACCGCTTGAGGCTTTGGTGTTCAGGGTTCAGAGTTTAGGGTTTAGGGTTTAGGGTTTAGGGTTTAGGGTTTAGGGTTTAGGGTTTAGGGTTTGGGGCTTAGGCTGCATTGAGGTTTAGGGTTCAGGGTTTACCCCAGAGACCCGTTTGGGTTTTGGCTCTACCCATGGGCCCTAAAGTAGTTCCTTTTTGGGGTTCATATTTAGAATCCGGCTTAGGGTTTAGGGTTTAGGGTAATCATATTAGAGAATCCCAAAAGGGAACTACTATAGGGCCTTTGGGTAGAGACCCAACAGTGGAAACATGGCTTTGGACAGCCGCAAACCTGACTTCCAGGAGCTCCAATGGGATCCAGAAATCCAGAACTCAATCTAGTTTTGGGCTTGCTCCACGGCTTCAGGCTTTAGGGTTTAGGATTCAGGGTTTAGGCTTTTGCGCTTGCTCCACCCTCAAACTCAGACCCGAAGCCTTTAACACCGCTTATACTCTCAGCCAGAAAGCCCGAAAGCCCGTCATGTCTGACCGTACCCTACACCCCCGACGATAACTGTAACGAAACCCGTCTACCTACGCGGACCTTCTTGTGGGAAGGTTTATGGCTTAGCAACCCGGCAAAAGCAGGCGCTTCAGCCCAAAAGCCTTATGGGTAGTTCTCTAAATTATATAGGGTCTTTTGTTTGGTCCCAAATATAGTACGGCACCCTTATAAGAAGGAAGCTATGAGGGACCCGAATTTAGAGAACTACCCTTATGCAACGCCCTAATTCAACCCGCCACAGCCTGAGCCTGAACACAGTAAGCCATCATAAACCCTAGCTTCCCTGAAACCAACACTGTGGCCCCTAAACCCTAAGAGCCTTCAAGAAGCCTACATGTTGGTTTAGGGTTTAGGGTTTAGGGTTTAGGGACCCTAAACTCTAAACCCCAGAAGCCCTTATGCAGGAGGATACCTCAATACGGCCATTCGCTGTCTGGAGACTGTCAAGCGGACTTTGGAGGGCGGCTAGCGGTGCCTAAAAAAAAAGGCTCCTTCATCGCCTTGCTTTAAAACGCCGCTAGGGTGCCTTTCAGGTTGAGAATTTAGATTTAGGGTGTATAGGCCTTAGGGTTCCTTGTAGGATTCCTTTTGGGATTTGGGGTTTAGGTATATCTCTAGAGTTCCTTTAGGGAATTCTGTTAGTGTTCCCCAAAGGTTGCTGCACTATAAGGATTCCATTGGGGTTTACATGTTTAGGTCTTGTAGGGATTGGGATCTGGGGTTAATTTAGGGTTTAGCGTTTTGGTTGAGGGTATCCGGTAGAGTCTTGATTTTTGTCCAGGAAAAGGGTTTGTAGGGTTTGTTGGTTAGGGCTTATGGGGTTTAGGGTTTGAGCTTTCTGTTCCTGAGTAGCCAAGTCAAGTCAATGCCTCAGGCCCTGAGGGCCTCAGAGATGTGGGAGTTTCCGAAAATTAGGGGTACCTTGTCTAGGGGTCCTTGTAATGAGGATCCTACGATTTAGGGCAACCCCCATGTTAGGGTTTAGAGCTTGAGGATGAAAGCGAGGCAACACAGGATCGCAGTATTTTTGAAATAGTATCACAGAATCGTCCACTGTAGTACATGCCAAAAACCCTATTCTAGACATGTTCTAGACCCGAAGATGTACATTATTGTGGTGAGCTTAGCTTCTGGTTTCAGGATGCTAACTATATAAAACAAGTCATCCGAAGTACACGTGATCGAAACATTAAGGCCCTAAGCCCTAAGCCCTAAACCCAAAGCCCCTTGATGAGGTTGCAAGTTAAGGGTATCTTTTTGTTTGTGGTTTGGCTGGGTTTCCTTTTTGGGAAATCAAGTTTCAGGTCAAGGTTCAAGGCTTCGGCTTCGTGCGCTTCAAGGGTCTTGGGTTTAGGGCTTGAGGGCTTTAGGGTTTAAGGGTTTAGAGGTTGAGGGCTTTAGGGATTTAGGGTTTAGAGGTTTAGGGTTTCAAGGTATAGAATACCCGGAAGGCTTTTGAAACCTAGGCGTGTCAAAACGATGGAAGGTTTACACGTTTCAGAGTAGAATCTATAGTAAAATTATATAAGGTTCCAAAACGGGATTTTAATAGTTACCCAGATACCCACATCTTTTGGGCACTTCATGACCAGTGCCGGGGTTTCAGGGTTCGGGTGCTGAAGACTCCTGATCCCGAATGTCGAAGCCTCAAGTTCTCGAACCCTAAACTCCTAAAGCTTCCCTAAACCTACCAAAACCTAGTTTTTTGTAGTTCCTTATTATAAACCCTAATATGGAATGTATAGGGACCCTACAAAAAAAGTAGGTTTTGGTAGGTTAAGGTCAACCCTAAACCCTGAAGCCTAAGCTTCTTTGCGGTCTGTGAGCCACCCCGCCCCTTTTCGCTCGACCCCTCAAGTCGGGGCCAAGGACCTTCGGTCGGAGCAGATCCTCCCAAACCCTAAACCCTAAACCCTAATCCCGTATCGGAGTTAAGAGGGCAGTGTCGGGGTTTTAGGATTTAGGAGTTGTAGGGTTCAGACCTGGAGGTTTCAGTCTCAGGGAGCTGCACCTTTCTACTGGGGTTTCAGGATTGGGGTGCAGGAGAGGGTTGCAAGGTTCTAAAGCTTTCAACGCCAAGTCCACTCGGTTTCGCAATAAGGCCAGGCACAAGGATTGGGGTTGGAGTATCGCGATGGCCGCCACAGATGCCCCCTGCATGCTGGCAAAGTGTCTTGATGAGGCTCGGCCTTTTCATTAAGAACCCCAAAAGCACATAAGCATAAGCATTTTATAGGGATATCCCTACCTTATTGGGCTTCAGTATAAGGGGGGTTATATGGGATATCCCTATCCTAGTGTTTCCTTATTGGGCTTCAGTATAAGGGGGGTTATATGGGATATCCCTATCCTAATGTTTGCTNNGCTTATGTGCTTCTTTGGGGCCCTATTTCACTGATGCAGGCGGTTATGCTTGTAAGGTTCGGGGCTTCGGGTGTGAAGTCTGGAAAGACGGCACTTCCAAAGCCGATCCCTTACGCAAGCAAAATCTACATTCAACAAACGCTCAGTTCATGGAAGATAGTTTCTGTGGGTCATGAGAAAAGAAGCAAGCCGGAATTATAGCAAGAGCACCGTCAGAAACATCAGCCATCCAAGCATTCATTTGTTGTTGCTGAAACATCGCCACCGCCGCCGACGACGACCACAGCTGCTGTCTGCTAACTCTACGACCATTGTTTCGAAAGATGGCGATCCTGCTGCGACGACTGACAGGAGGAGGACGACCACGACTCTGCTTCAGCTCGGCTGCTGCCCATCAACGATTAACCAAGAGGGGGCCGTAGACGCTACTATTTCGGAATTAGGTCGCCCATACCTATTATTAGGATAGTTTTTCGAGGGGGCTATTTCCATAGTGGTAGTATATATGATCCCGGTTCTC